ACAGGGTGTTAAGGGAAGAAAAATGGTAAAAACGAGATAAATTTGAAGATCAAGAAATGACAACAATTATGACGAAAAAAAAGATCTATACAAAATACAGAAAATGAAATTTGGAGTCAGTGGAGTCATTTGGAAAATTTCGGATCAGTGAATTGATTATAAATGCTGAAACCAGGATTTTAATTAATTAATATTTTCAACGTCCAGTTTCCAGTATCAATAATTTTTAATTCATTAGACTGATTTGATTTAATCAGCTCAATCTTTGTAATTTTAACATTGGAATGCGATTCAGCACGTGGATAAATTCATGGATTTATTGAATCCAGAGATTCGCCACGATTTTCCACTTATGGAAATTTTATTCCATTGAAAATTCTTTTTTAATTCTAATTCTTTATTAAAATTCTTTTTTTCATGTATTTCCAAGAATATCAAGAATTACGCTTTACTTAAAAATTGTTCTCACAATTTGTTAAAATTGATTAAGAGAATTAATGGCAGGTAACAAAGATATTCGTTTCCAACTTAATAAAATTTGTTCTATGAAGAGCCTTCTACGAAAGAATAAAATTATATTAATAAATCGAAGAGAGCCTATATTATAAACCTATATTATAAACATGACCCACCTGGAATTATAATAGAAAGAAATTCTCAGCCCAGAGCAGCCATAATATATAAATTATTTGGCTATGGAGCATCGAGTTAGTGATTGGAAGTTTTTATCAGAATGTTTGTTAGAGTGCTTGGCTGCCAGAAGCACAGATGGTTCCTCCAGCCAGGATTTTTTAGCAATAGGTTTAATCTTGGAGGCTGCAGCTGACCCTTATCTTTCAATATGGTAATTTGAGTCACTGCACATAGAAATATTTGAGCATTAAGAATTGAAAAAAAGCTAAAAAATTTAAACAAAGTGGTGAAGAAGAATAATGAAATAGTGAATGAAAAAACAAATTTCATTAATGCGATTCAATTTATTTTTCTAAATTGAAAACTAAAGGAATTTTGGATACTTTGTGGAAAATGAATACATTAAATAATGACTTGTCTGACTTCATTTCGCCTAAAAGACGAAAGAACTTCACTGAACTATTAAATAAACTTGGAAAAGTGATTATGACGACGAAGTTCTTCAGCACATTTTAAAATATGGAAAACATCAATAAGATAAACAGAAAATAATTCGACCAACTTAAAAGAATATTTAGGATTTCATTTTAGATTTTGGAAGTTTTCTTAATGCAATAAATTTCCCACCTTTTTCCAAAAAAAGTCAGCGACGCTTTGCAATTTTTGTAAAAAATTTCGAAAATTTTTTCTTTTTGGCAGCATGCGTTATTTCTGGCTTGGTCACTGCCCATTAGGATGAGATCTCTTCGCTAGAGAATCACTTGGGATTGAGGTGCAGGTGGATGACCAGATTTTACTTGGAATGGCAGGTTACCTACGAATCGTGGCTATAATGGCTTACTCCAAGCCAATACCACTTGTTTTCTCCTCTCTTTTAAAAGATTAAAAACAGTAATGAAATTTGCTTCGATCTATTGCATAATATTACATCTAAAAGGCATGTATAGCTTTATGCCTAAAAGATTTACTCTCCCCACAAAAACTACCACAAATACTTAAGTTATGACTGATAGAGGGATTTGAGATAACAACCATTTAGAAAATGTCGATAAGCTGCTTTGTTATATGAGAAAATGTTCGAAATATTCAACAAGACTGAATTATGATCGGTAAAACAGAAATATTTTGTGAAATAAATCAAATCCGTGGGCATTTTCGGTCCAACGAATTACTTGCCTTAAGGCAAATTCCGCACACACAATTTAATAAATATTTATTATTATTGAAGAAAACATTGAAATTTGATGACATATCGATAAATAAACCAGCAAATTCATTGATAACCATATATATGCATTATTGTACGACTAAGACGACTGACCTCTATGTGAAATGATCGCTAGAATGAATCGAAAAGAGAACAATTAACCAACCTCATCGTATATTTGCACATTTACACAACTTTAAATATTTGTCATAAATCTCGATTATATACTCCAAGTAGATAATAGATGTATCAATCCTAGAAAATTTCCTCTTTTATGGAAAACTTGGCCTTACTTTTATCCTCTGAGACATAAATACTGGACTTCAATTTATGCGATAATTATTATTTGTATCGGTAAAACTATCGGTAGAACTTTATAACAATTCTACCAGTGGACTGCGATGATGTCGTGAACTGGTAAGCGGTCACTATTTCTGACCACTATTAGGCCATTTCCATTTCCATTTCCATTAGTATAATGCGAAGTTTAACTAACTCATTCCACTATTTACAGGGCAATATTTCAACTTGAATTCCTTTGCCATAGAATATTGCATCTATATTTTTCAATAAAATGCCATTCCATTCTAACATAAGACTGCGATTATGACAGTTGGCTATCCATTTGTCTGAATATTGCTGGAATATCTTCTACCGAAAAAATCTATTGTATGGAATCCTCCAAGTAGTTAACGTTTCATTCATATAAATTCTATTAATTCTATCACATTTTATCAATCATCTTTGGGAAAGTTTCGTATTAGATAATCGTTCCCATCGAGGAAAGTGGCATTTTTTATAGATCAGACAGACCATGTTATGGTTCCAGCAAAGATCCATATGAAGTTGAAACAATCTTCAATCAATCTTCAATCTTCAATCAAACAATATTCTCCAAAATCTTCTAATTATCTTAAGGTGAAAGATTAAGAGAAAAAGCACATTACGAACCTATTATCAAAACTTCTTCTCCTAACAGTTCTCACCATTACTGGTTAGGCTGGCTTCAACGGCTAGGGTAAGATGCTTCCAAGCAGCACTGTCTGATGCCGTCTTAATATACACCAACTGCCTTAACCAGCGAAAGCTTCGTTCTGTGATAATATTATTAATGCAAATGGTATTTCAATAAAGGTGGATGCGATCATGTGATATTTTATCCGCTCGACGGATCCGTAAAATGTACCTTATGCAAGAGAGGTCAAAGGCAGATAACTTCTTAATATCCTCCACTCATATTGGCTATGTCTTAGAATCATATAGCAAGATCGAACGAATCACGGCTATATAGGTATAGAGTTCGTTTTTATTTTTTATGGTGATTTCACGATGGCTCCATAAAGATTTCGTCAACCGGAAAAACGCAATGCCATGATCCATGTAATATCATCGTTTGCCTGGCCATTTGCTATTTAGAGTGGACCCAAGGTATTTAAAATCGGATGCTTCCTCAACCTGCAATGAATTTACAAAAAGAGGCATTTTATCAGAGGCATTCTTCTTGCACATAAGACGAAAAGAGTTTCGTTTTATTTACATTGATCCTGAGTCCGATTCTTGCTGCAGTTTCTGACACGTTATTTAGTATTACTTGCATTTCGTTACTGTCAGCAAAAAGGACTACATCATCAGCTTGTTCAAGATCTGTGATACGATGCTCTGGACTCTGGACTAATTCGGACAACTCTTGAGTGTCGACAAATAGCACCCATTATCCAGTCTATCACACAGTTGAATATTGTGGGGGAAAGGAGCCCTGGCACCTGTTCTTTTTCGAAGAAATCTGTCAACTCCCCATATACACAGACCTGCGCTCATAAAATGCCTTTATGAGTCGAATGATCTTCTCTGCAGCACCGTCGCATTCCATCATCTTCCAAAGCGTCTTTCTATCAATTGAATCAAAGGCAACCGCAAAGTCGATGAAACACGTGACAGTGGGTTGCAAATATCTGAAGCGATGTTCCAACACTCTTCTTAACGTGAATATCTGGTCAGCACAACCGCGCCCCCATCTGAATCCAGTTTGATTAGGGCGCATCCTGCTGTCGACTATCTAGTACGGAACTCTTTCAACAGCGACTGACCAAGATATAATCAATCTGGTTGAAGTGTTGGTTATCCGGGGAGTTCCACGTGACTAAGTGTTGTCTACGATGCCGGAAGCAAGTATTAGTAACAAAAAGTTCATGCATAATGAAGAAGGCGTTCCTCATTGGCGCACTGGTCTCCGATGCAGTATTGGCCAATCGTTGAGCGACATTATGATCTACGCGCGCATTCCATTCTCCCCCGACTATGACCATATCATTTTTGTTATAGACTTTGTTAGCAGTTGAAGTTCCGCATAGAACTTATCTTTATCATAGTTATCTGTCGATAGAGTTGTAGACACTGATGACCGAGATATTGCAGAACTTACCTTTAAAACGGGCATAGGCCATACGGTCATTTACCGGTTTCCGCTCAATCAAAGTAGAATGGGCCTTGATAGACATGACAATTTCTACGCCATTTCGTTCCGAGCTATTCACCACAGCGATGTACCAATATCTCTGCTCCGAACCAGGATTAGTAATTACTCGAGATCCGAAGTAGCGAAATCCACACGATATTTAGAAAAGGTGTGATCGCTTGACTTGCAAGGTCCATAAGCGTTTTGATATTCCACGCTGATACGGCTAATATTTCGCCGCGCCTGCAGAGAGTGTGCTGTTCCGTTCCCCTGTTGATAGGTTTCGAGCAATTATCCTGGCTTTCGAGCACATTTCATTTAGCAGCCTTGGGATCGCTTTGTCCGGATTATACTTATCGCATGTACCACGGGGCTAGGAGTATCATTGGAAGATGCGTCGGAAGGTGCGGACCACAAGTGGGTCCCCAGCAACCACCCGGATTTTTGACATGACAGGTTTACTCCTATCAAAAAACAATTATTTTATATTGTTTATTTTGTAATATTATTATAAATTTTATATATATATATATTTATTTATTTATTTCAATTGTTTTCTTTTGTTAATTTAGGAAAAAGAAAAAAGAAAAAACAAAAAAAAGACTTAATTCTTAGTACGAAGCTTATAGAAAATCTAGAAAAATATTCCAAGAAAGAATTGCCGCGTAATAATAATATAACCGCTCAAGATCAAAAACCACATTATCAAAACACTTCAGGGATAAGCATCTGAGGCCCCTCGAACGGCTGATGAACACTGGTACCCACAAAAAATGCTTTCGAAGGTTCGCCAAGTCTACGATTTGATATGCCATTTGGAAATGCATCATCCGCTTGACATCAGAAGAGACCAGTTATCCGAAAAGGTCCATTAGGAGTAAGCATATCAAAAAATCCTTATTATTCGACGCTTCGAATGCTTAGAACAATAGCGGCATGGCGTGGTAAAAATCTTTATTGAGGTGATTCTCAATATGGAGTCAGCATCTCGAATAGGAAATTGTTTCTCTTTCATAAAGCAACTAAAATTTGGCAAAGAACCAGAAAACGATCCGATAACGATGGAAAATAGTTTTGAATACCAGCAACCAATCATGATTTTTCGCCTTCGATTCATTTGGTAAAAGACATTGCGAATGAGAGGTGAAGGTCTTCCAGAAAATGTCATCCGATTATACGCATTTTTTTCATGTTCACCAGTAGCTGTTTTACGAATAAAAAAATCACGCGTAGCAAGCCCAAAATCACCGATCTTTGTACGATCATTCCCATCAATTAATATATTCATCTACAAAAATAATAGACTATAATAATTTTAATTTTATAATACAGTAAAATTAATTTGATAATTAATAATTTAATAATTTTTAAATTAAATTTTAAATTAGTTAAATTTTTAATGATAAAATAAAATTCTAAGAATAAGATGAATCTACAAATATTGCATATATAATAACAAATTCTCATAAAAGTAAAGAATTGCATTACTTTCTTACTTAAGTTTCCATGAATATAAAGTAAATTCATTTAAAAAATTGCGGTTTTATATCTCGATGAATCATTCCTTCTTTATGAATATATTGTAATTCAAGCAATATTTCACTTCATTTTGGCTGATAAATCAACTGATTAGCTGATAAATAACGAATGATTTCTGCCATTCAGTGATGCAGTTCTTTATAAAACTGATGATACTAAAAGAGCTATCTTATAAAGAACAAGCAGAATTATCTTTAAACATTTCCATACTCTTTGATATTTTCTCAAAAACCATTATAATCTCTCCCAACCCCGGTACTCAGCACTTGGCAAATCCTATAATTCTTTCTCGACTTCGAATTCCCACTATACTCCTTCGAGCCAGTTTTGTTTCTACTTTTTGCAAATTCTCAAGTTGTAACGGCGCCTACAGTTCTGCAGGGTAAAAAACGACAACTGGCGTAGAGGATTAAGGCAGTAGAAAAATATTTGAAATGACATGACTAATAGATTGTATTAAAGGACCGGGGTTTTGAGGTATTAAAAGCACATTTGACATGGTCTGAGATTTTTTTTTCAGAGAATATGATGAAAAAAAAGAGAATAACAGGCTAAAAGAAATCAACTGCGACAGAGATTTTACAGACATATTAGGTTTTAGAAAATCATAGTGAGTTGCAAAGAAAATTGCGCACGAATTTAGCAATGTTAGGGTAATATGGTGTCATATGGTGTATATGGTGTCACCGATAAAGTAACACACTTTGAGGAGCCAAGTTTCGATAAAAGAATGCGGAGAAATTTGATAATACAGAGAGTTTTGGATGTAGGTTAGAGCTTTATAACAGGCTCTGAAAAAAATTATCAAGACACTGTAATAGCATCTTAGAAGGACTAAGAGTTACGGAAGATTAATACAGAAGGGTTTTAAGTAATATTAACGGCATACTGGAAAACAGTAGAATGAAATATGATGGAGAACTTAACAGAGTTTCAAAAATATTAAGAGGATATGGCAAATTAAGGAGCTATCAATTAGAGGACTATAATATAACGATGATTTGAAGTTAAGATTGCAAGTCCATAGTTAGGAGATCAGAAAGAATTTTCACGAAATTTGGCAGAACTAAAGGAAATTACTCCTAAAAAGTGAATCAGAGTGGTACTGGAGAGGTGGTAAATTGCCTCAATTGACAATGATTAAGGGATCTCACGAAAGTATTTAGAAAGTAGTTAGTCGAAGAAAAATTATATGCTTTTAGAATGAGAAGCCTATGAGGCTCATATTCCATTAATGCAAAAAGCAATATATCCAAATTTTCTGATATCCAAATAAGAATTCTGCACCACACTGGTTTAGTCGGCGGTATTGGCTAATTGGAGGAGAATTTATTTGTTTGATCCATAAATTCAGTTCAATTTCGACTAGTTTTGTTATTTCTGAGATTAATTTAAATTTATCTCATTAATTTTGCACTTGATGGAGAATTTAAAGAACTGCTGAATTGCCGAAGATTCCCAGAATCCCACGAACCTGGCAGCAAACCTTGCTACCAATTAAGAGACAACTTTGCTCAAAAATGAGGAAATGCATAAAATTAATTTTCGTATTTTCTTTCGCTTATTGATTTACACTTGCATAAAGGTAAAATACGACTTTCTTAAATTTGATATATCTATCATCTTTAATCCAACTGAAGCCTTAAATATGAGTCAATTATGAAATAAATTAGTCTATCGCTTCAGCTAAAGCCAAGCACCTTTAGTTCGATTCCTATTTCTCGAGGGAAATCATTAAAAGTAAAAATCCAGGTGGAACCACTTTTCTCCAAGCGACGTTTTGTCGAAAGAATCTTATTTTAGTAGTCAAAGAATGGTCCAAATTATAAATATTGACCGTTGTTAGAAGAACGAGGAGAAATACGAAAAATATCAGTTGCTATAAGTTATTATTTGAAGTTTATCACTTGATAATTAAGCAATTTCTACGGGTTATACGTTGATGTGGGACTTCTCTATTCGAAAATCGTTTAACAATTTCTCCTCGAAATCTTTACGCTAAAGGCAATTCGGACGAGTGGCACAAACAGCTAAAATAAATCGCGAAGGGAACAAATAAGAAATGATCTTGGAGAGAAGCACTAATCGGTTGGTTTGCAATCATTAACGATCACTATGATAATGTTGATTGTTTGAAGATAGTCTGCCTGGTCGGAGAATATAATAAATATTAGTCTGCTCGACTGTTCTCTTCCTCTTCTTAAAGCCTCTATTTATTCTCAATCTGTCGACAATTTCTATTTTCCAAATGTTATAAAAATTCGTGAAACATATGAGTGGCAGCGCCGATAAGAAAGAACACATCTGCTCGATGCCTTACTTCTGTTTTCCAACGTAATTCTCGGCAAGTTTTTCTTTTCTGAAGGCACTCACCAATTCTGGTTAAATTCGTTCAGTCGGCTCGTCCGATCAGAAAACTTTGCCAATGAGTCATTTGACAATAGAAGCGTATGGGGTGGCCAACATCGCCGGATTTTTGGAAGAGCTTTGCTCCGGCAGAGGGTAGAACATTAGCATCGCAAATTCTGGCAACAATTCTCCGAGCCATTCTATTCACCATTTGATTTCAAAAGTATAAAAAAGTGCATAAAGGCGACTCTATCACCCGAATCAGGACTCGAATCAATTATTTTTTCTTAAAATTATTCAAAGAATATGGACTACATTTCCGAATCATTTCAAGGGCAACGTATTCTGTATTGTTTGCATATTCGATATTTCCATTAAATTCATTGAGAGGATGGTTGCGCCTATCGCTCCCGTCAAACATCGCTATTCGATCCTCACTCTCCAACTGTCTTAACTGTCTTAACTGTCTTAATAAGGCTTTTTCGAAATGAATGAAATTAGTCTATTCCAAAATTATAGTGGTACTATTAGTTCATGCATATGGCCACAAAGGCAGTATAATACAGATCAATTTTAAGTGGTTTTTTCCAAAATTAAATTAAAAAATTGCAGGTCGGCAAAAAATTGTTACAAAAAAAAGAATTTAAAAAGCTAGAATTTTAATTGAGCAAAAATATAAAAAAGGTGAAAATAAAAGTACAAGTCTTCTTTAAAAAGAACAATTCTTTAAAAATGATTTTTGACTTTAAGTGAATTAATAACAAATAAAAAATAATTCAAAAAATAACGAAAAAAAATGAAATAAACATATAAAACTTATAAACCTATTTCAGCTGATTTTTTTTCTAATGTTCCATTGTTCATTGAAAAAAATTTTCAGCCATGTATATTTATGTTTCGTAAAATCAATTTATTTATTCGGTAAGAAAAATAAATATAATTAATTTAATGTAAATGTAATTAATTTCCCATCTATTATTGTTTTTTTAAGACCATTTTTTAATAAAAAGAAGCACAAAATAAATGATTTACGCGCCAGCTGCATAATTTAGAAGGAAATTTCGAAAATAAAAAACGGAAATCCATAAAATAGATTAAAACAATGAAATATTAAACAAGAAAAAAGCACATTTTATAATTGAACAAAGTATTTGGCGAAACCTTTTGCGATTTAGATCATTAAACTTTTATGCAAAAATGATTCCAAAGCGAAGTATAAAATTTGTTATCCGTTTTTCGAAAAAATAAACATTTACCACCTATCGAAAATAAAAATAAATCAATCGAATTATAAAATAAATTTATAGTAACCACTGCCAGTTAAACGCGAAAAAAGAACGATGGCATTATTATTTTTTGCACTCAATAACGTTTCCAATATTTCTTCAATAAGCTGTAAATCTTTCTTATATCTATTGAATTGTGTTGCCACAGTTTTGAATGATAAACATAAATCTGCTTTCGAAGAATTTCGATCGATTAACGCTCCTAATAGCTGAGTTGCATCAATCGACAAATCAACTACGACAACATCAATAATTGTAGAAGGAGCGAATAACTGCGCAGATCTTTTTAAACTCATCTGAACCTGATTCTAAAAAGAAAAATGTTAAATTGTTCAAAACACATTGGATATTTTTTAAAAGTTGAATCAAATAAAATCAATCAGAAAATTGTCATAAGGCATTAATGATTCGATGGAGAAAATTTCAAATGGATGAGCAAATTAAAAAATTTCATTTTTCCGAATATTGATCCAAATTTACATAAATTTGCAATAAAATGTTCATATAGTTTCTTCAAAAAGATTAGAAAAAAAAGGGAAAAAATACTTCAACACGTTTCTTGACATTCGTTGCTGGCTTATCAAGAACAGCGAAATGAAGATTTAGATTGGCCGATGTAGCTGTTGAACTAGGTAAATTTATGTTTCGTATGGAACACTCTAATTTCCCATCTGATGTTGATTCTAATCGAATTCTTTCATATAATCGCTCAACAACAGCATCGAATAATAGTTGATATCTAGTTATTCCATCAAGAACCAGAGCCTCATCATTACTAATAACGACTATAACAAATGGAATTCCTTTCTGCGAGCAATGTTCCTAAAATTATTTCGTTCTGTACGATCCATTCAAGTGAATTTGGCAAGCGATATCAAAATTATGGTTAAATATTTTTTAAATATAAATTTTTCAAATACAGTTTACTAAAATAATTTGTAAAAGATTTGCAAATTTTTTGAAGCGAAATTTTGCTAATAGTAAAAAATTTCTGACCTAGAAACTTATTCCCTTATATTTTATATGAAACAACTAGCTTGAATTTCAGCAAAGTTACTGGATTCCACTGGGTCATGCAATACATCAGCAGATATTTCACGGTTCCACAGTTTTCGAGCAAGAACAGCACAATGAATCAAGCAACCAGCATTTTCAGCACAGATCAGCGCTGAACACCATCTACCACACCAACCTAAAGATTTCTATCAACAATAGTGAAAAATAGTAAAAAAATTGAAAATTTATGTTTTAACAATCGCTAAAACTAATTTGGATTTCACAATATATCAATAATTGATAAAACAAACCAGAAGATTTTTTGCAAAAATGCGCAAATGCATCAACAGCAAAAGAACAGCCTACTGCACATAACGGTATTGGAGATTTTGGATCTTGAGCACGAAGCTCTTCAGACAATAATTGGTCGTAGCGTCCTTGAAATGTCAAAGCGAAAATACATTAATTAAAACATTTACAAGCGGATAGCAAATGGAAAAAATTAAAAATTTGAGGACCAGTCAGTCAACCAACCTTGAAAACAAAAATAAAACCTTTTACCTCCAGCACAAATTAAAATAGATTTTGGTCGAACTTTATGTGAAATCAGCAATTTTAATTCGAAGATAATACCAGATGAAAATGTATGCGGTCTATAACACAAAGCTCCATTGAAAATGATATTGTCAATATTCGTGCCTGCAAAATTGCAAACAAGTAAAAAAATTTCAAATAATTCTACTCATGGAGAAACGGAAAAATTAATTTTAATATAATAGTATATATTAATAAAAAAGTGCAATATATTTAAAAAATTATATAGTTAAAAAATTATTCGTCAATGTTAGACAATGTAAAGAACCATCAACTATCAAGAACCATGAACTAAGACATTACCTAGTTTCTTTTCTAGGATATAAATTTTCTAAAATTTTTAAATACCTGTTAATGGCCCAAGAATTTCAATACAAGTGTTAATATCATTGATTGCGGTTTTAATATTATCACGTATTTCAAATCGACTTCGTAAAAGAGGTTTAAATCTCTCACGCAAATTTTCTAGAGATGTGTCTTCACCCTCAAGTAAACTGAGTAATGCCTTCGCCTGACTGAAGGATAATTCGCCACCAATTCGAAGTCGTTCCAATCTTTGATCATGAGTAAGCGGTTCTAAATGAAATAAAATGTAATGTAAATAATATTTTGATATCATTACATGTTGATATATTTACTATTTATTTCTCATTTGTTAATCTTAATTTAATAATTTAATGAAACAGTTTGGAAAAGTACTAATGTAAACTTGCAAAAATTATTATCTAAAAACCTATATAACTAACTATTTGAAATCCCTATTCCATAAAGGGCATTGAGAATCTTCAAGTACAAATCACCCAAACCAAGGTGAAGAGCACTACCACGGATCAAGCCACAGTGACCAATGTGAAGTTGCCATTTACTACTACCAATTTCCGAAATAAAACTGGCTGCTTCAATAATTATAGAAAGCACATCAGAAGTTAATAGGCAAGATGAATTCCTTGGACCAATGCAGTCTATAGCAAATTCTTGTCGTTCTATTGGATGTATACCATCTACAAGATTTTAATAAATTTTAATCATTGATTATTTGAAAATTCATTAAATGATGATTTCACTCCACGATTTTTTGAAGTAATTACTATGTTTTTCAAGAATTAGATTTTTGAATATTCAACATATTTAATATTCGACATAAAAAATTTATCAAAATACCAAAAAAAACTGTCGAAAAAACATTTCATACCAAGAGAATCAGATCGACTGAAAACTTTGCCAAAACAGTATCGCTTAAGACGATTCATGCCACTACGCACACAATAACGAATGAACATTCTTCGCATATCATACTATAAAGTAAAGTAAATAACCATTTCTAGTTAAGCTATCCCTGTTATTAATGTGGTTAGAAAATTTTCGCTTTGGTGACAGAAACATAGGTAAGTAGCCAATATCACACTATATCAAAAATTAATGAACTATTTAGATAAATTAATTCTGAAATTTTACAGTTCTCCAACCCTGAAACATCTTCAAAGAAGCTTATTGATACTGGCATTCGATTGTTAAATTATCTTTAAATTAAATTATCTATAATTAATAAAGATAGCAAGATAAGGAATTACTAGATTTTAATTATAAATGAAAATCCTGCAGATTTCATTATCACCTTTTTAATTACTTATCAATTAAATTTTTGCTATAGTTTCACCTTTAGAAGAAATAAGTTCCATTCTACAGGCTCCAATAAAGGGCGCACAGCATAAAAAAATTTGAAAGAGTTTTGTAAAAAAAACGAAAGCTAAATTTTCCATATAAAAAAATTCTACAAGAAGCGGATAAGGCGATCACTATTACTAATTAAGCAGCAACCAACAAAGGAAACAAAGTATTTTTCTGCCAAGAACAGTGACTTTTATTTAAAACATTAAAATCATAGGATGAAAAGATTATGAAGTAAATTAAAAGTAAAAAAATAATAAGACAGAAGGAAAAGGAGTAAAATGAACTTATCGGTACTACCCACCTTGTAGGAAAATGCCAAAATTAATTATTCAAAAACTCACGGGCAATGTTACGCAGATTCCATTTTCATCAATTAGTTTACATATGCGAGATTTTAAACTGGACAATGAAGCAATTTCAATATTGAATGGCGCGAGAAGATGAGATGGAAGCGGAACAAATGCATGAAGAGAACAAATACGAGAAAGTTCACGTCGCAAGCATTCAACAGAATACAAATCGGGTAACGATAACTCGAACTAAACTTCTATTCATGATGAAAAAAAACATATTTGCTGATAATCTAAATTAGAACGATGATAGTTATATTCATAAAATATATATTAATACTATGTTTTATATTGCTATAAAATATTATTAAATATTATATTCGTATTAAATACTATACATGAAGTGAAATGTTGGCTACGAAGATGGAAAAATTTAAAAAATCTGACCACGATTTAATAATGATAAATCATATAGTTTTGGAAATTACTAAAAATTCACCTTATTTATTATCTCTCTATATATTTTAGAATGGCTTTTTTTTAAGAGTCCTCACCATTACTGGTTAAACTCGCTCCACTGGATTGTCGCATTGAGCAATATGCCAGGGAGTCTCTTGGCATATAGAAATAATGGTGAATTGCCAACATCACTCGGATTTTTGGACAGATTTATTTCTGCGGGGAATAGTACCTCAGCATCGGCGCTCCGATGATCGAACAACCTAATGAGCCATTCTACTCTTAATTTTACAATGGCATAATAAAATATTTTCCAATAACATTAAATAAATTTCGCAATGCGATTTCTCAAACCATTTACATCAGTTCATAAATGGTTGATATAATCATTTTATTCGCATTATTAGCAATGAATAAAGCGAAAAAATATCCAAGTCTGTACATCATTTACACCATTTGTGAAAACAAGCAAAATGAAAAAATGAAAAAAATAACTTAAAAAAGTACCATTGAGCATAATTCATGATCGTAGAGATAATCGGCTGCTGAACTTAAGGGTTGCGAAAGCAAGGTACCGAAAACCCACTGATACATTCGTCCTCGACGATTTTTTAAAATCTGACAAAACATTTTCTGAAAATATGTTTTATGGAAAATATATTAGAAAAAAATGAATTTAAATCGAAATTTAAAAAAATTGAAGAAAGAGTGTGTTCGATATATATGAAAAAATTGAACCTGAAATTCACTATCTTCAATTTCAACGAGTGGTACTCGGTCGTTTTCTAACAAATTTTGAATAGATGGTCTGTCGATAGGTGATAGCTTCAGCATTTCTGTGATCAATTCCTTTGCTGCGTTTTGGTGGGCCTATGAATAATTTTGCAAGTTAATAATTCAGATAAAATCATAAAATAAGCGAGCTTTCACGAACTTTTGGTATAGATGAAGCAAAATCAGCAGGAAACGCACAAGAATCTCTTAATGCTTGTAAAACCTTCACCCTTTCCATTCCTGGTAACAGTGGCAAATAAAACATCTCGAAAAGGACAATTCCCAAACTGAAAATGAAAATAAAAAAAATGAAAATAGCAACAAACAATAATCAAAAAATAAACAATAATGAAAGATAACAAAATAGCTGAAAAAATATAAAATGGGAAAATGGATAAGTCAACTGTAAATTTTATTAAAATATCATGCATGAAGAAAAAATATAAATGAACAAAAAAACCTTTGAGGGTCCTTTTGTTCCTTTAAATATTAATATTCAAAAAATCAATTTCCATTTTTTGAATTAATTTTAATTTTACTTTGAAATTTTGCTAAAATTAAATTAAATTACCTAAAAACGTCCAACTTAGTGTTGCAGCCCGATGCAATTATACGATCAGAAAATAATTCAGGAGCCATATACAAAGTTGTGCCAATGTCCTTTGTCAGTGAATAATTTTTTTCATGTTCACCAGTAGCTGTTTTACGAATAAAAAAATCACGCGTAGCAAGCCCAAAATCACCGATCTTTGTACGATCATTCCCATCAATTAATATATTCATCTAAAAAATAATAGACTATAATAATTTTAATTTTATAAAATTAAAATAAAATTAATTTGATAATTAATAATTTAATAATTTTTAAATTAAATTTTAAATTAGTTAAATTTTTAATGATAAAATAAAATTCTAAGAATAAGATGAATCTACAAATATTGCATATATAATAACAAATTCTCATAAAAGTAAAGAATTGCATTACTTTCTTACTTAAGTTTCCATGAATATAAAGTAAATTCATTCAAAAAATTACCGGTTTTATATCTCGATGAATCATTCCTTCTTTATGAATATATTGTAATCCAAGCAATATTTCACGAAAAATCCGCCATATTGTACGAGGATTTTTATATAAACGTGATGAATCGATGAGTGCCCGCAATGTCGACTTTTCGCAATATTCCATCTGGATAAAAAGAATTTTTGGAGATGCATTCTGCTTAATATGCTGCACCATTAATGACTCGGAAGCATCATCAGTTGATTCACCTTCAGATTCATTTTCAAAGAGAATTTCCTATAATGAAAATTTTAAAACAATGCAATGAATACAACAATGAAAACTCATGAAAACCCTTTGAAAAAAAAACCATCTGTTAAATAAGTTAAAAATAATGAAAGAAGCACCAAATTTCAGAAAGAAGCAAAATTATATGTAACAATTTTTCATCCAAAAAAATGAAGATTATATAGTAACTTTATTTATAAAAAAGCAAATTTGAATAACAAAAATCTGCCATTAAGTACCATCCTAATGGGAGGCTTCACTATTCAATTACTTACATTTAAATCGAAAAGTACTTTTTTATTTTATTTACTTTGTGTTGTGGTTTAAGGAATATCTAACTAGGATGGATTTTGTGTTTTATCTTCCATCATATTTTCTTTTAATTTTGATTAAAATATATTAATGAAGAAATTACAAAATGTGAATTTTCTGTTTTGCTGCGCACTGATTTCGAAAATAACGTGCGTATAGGCTTTTCATCATCACTTTCAGATTCACCATTACTTGACTCCTTAGAGGATACTTGAAATGATGTAGACCACTCAACATTAGATTCACAATGGATCTGATTGGCTTTAAATTCCAGATTTCTGATTTTTGAAGGCATTAATGAATCTGAAAAAGGACCGAAAAATAATTTATATATGGTATACAGAAAAAAGGTATATAGCACTACGAAATTTTCATTGGGAGCACGGCGATTCCCCTTCAAATATTCTACCTTTATGAAAATTCCTTTTGGGAATCCGCTCCATTATCTTTTTTCTGTATAGATTTGGCTTTCCTGCCACGGGGGGACTTTTATTTCTTATTATAAAACTCTGCGGCCAGCGTTCTACTTCTTACTTTTCTCGCTGCTAACCTCAAACTTTATTAAACCTTTATTAATAAGGACGCAAATATATATAAGAAAATGAAAAATAATTGCCCTAATAAAGAAATAATAAAGAAAAAAATTAAATATAAAATTTAAATGCCCATTACTCACCGACCGCTCCCCCACTCATTTTCCCCTAAGCACAAAATAACCAAAATTGATCTTTTGGGAGCTTATATTTAATTTAAGATGGGCAGGAATCCGGATGACTTGCTCCGGATGAATTTAAGATGACAAATTTACGGCTTTTTTCGCCTTTCGGCGACATATGGTTAGGAACATTCTATCACGGAAATACTGTAAACTTTTCTAAATTTGAAAAATTTAAAACAATTTATTGTAGCAAAAATAAAAACAAACTAAAAATAAAATAAAAATAAAATAAGAAAATAAAAATAAGTAAATTTGAGCAAGTCATCCGGATTCCCGCCCATCTTAAATTAAATAGATCACAAAATGCATTTAACTTTTTAAAGTCCAAAAATTATAAAACCACGAAGTGACTAACCATCGGAATTTTTCGCACCACTTGGCCTATTTGTTGAGCTAGTATTTAGTGATTTCACCTGAATAGGTGCTTGTTCAATCCATGCACTATAATAACGCACAACATGAGGATGATTTAGTCTCGAAAACAATTTAGCTTCGCGGGTTATCTTCTGATTTAGACGATCATCTTTAGAATCTAGCGGAATTCGTTTAACTGCATATTCGTTACCATCCAATTTATTCCTAACATAAAATAATTATTATAGAATACTTATTTTAGAAAGATGATAAAATCCCTTAATGGCAAAATATTAAGTAATATCAACATCAAAATATGCAAATAAAATTCAGTAATTTCAAAAGTTTCAAATTCAAGCAGCTTTTAATTTCTTCCTAGCACTTTTCGATGGTAAGTAAAAAAAATCCTCATCAAAAATCTATTTAAAGTAAAAAATTAAAATTGAAAACATAAAATACCGTGCGAGAAGAACATCACCAAATCCGCCCTTACCCAAAAAACTAATATAAATGAATTCATTTTTTAATCGACTATGCGCAGCTGCTTGAAAATCAACTTCTGGTTCCGAATGAAAGTTTGACGGTCCTGAACACTTAGACATAAATCTCATAAACATATAAATTCCTGGATTAAATATTTTTCCGCTGACTAAAACTACCTTCATTGAAAAATTCATGCTCCAAAATATCATCGATTCTTTTTGCAGCCTTTACAGCACTGATGAAAATTTTTAATTTTTGTTTGACATCATTGTTTTCCAAATGCTGATATATTGTTTCAAAGACTTGCGCCATTTGTACCAAATCTTGCTTATATGAATCTTTATTAGATTTAAAATCTGCCATACTAGATGAAGCACAATATGCATTAAATGCTGCACAAAGGTCTAGAATACAGGGCCTAAAAAAATTTTCCAGAGACAAAAATTGTAAAATTTCACCAATGAAACATAAAAATTCAACATATCAAATCTGTACAATAAATAAATAGTATTTTCGCTATAGGTACCATGAAGAATTCAAGAGAAAATATAAAAAACCCACTTACTGAAGAATACAATCTGATATGCGGAAAGTGAATCCATTTGCCAACCATATACACGATAATGAAACACTGGCATGACGACATCGATTTTCGTGTAACCATTTTATTGAATGTGTTAAATGTGATGCAAGAATATGTACCAGCTCCTAAAGTTATCATTCTAGATGATTATTCGTAGCGCAATGAATTATATCTTCAATCTGATGGAAAATAAACAGAACGAAGTTTAGTTTTAAAAAGCTTGGAAATAAAATTAGAAATTTTTAAAGCAAAAACAACAAAAAAGAAATCTTTTAAATTAAATGAAGAAGAAACAGGTGAATCATTTTATTGATAAAATTATTGATAAAAATAATTTATTTTAATTAGTAAAGTGCATAAAATAACTTAAATTAGCAAAAATTTACATATTTCTATAAAAATTTAAAATGTCCCACTTTTATTTCGAATAGAAATGTTAAATACCGGCTTTTTTGCAAACTGTTTGGTGCATTCGTGTGCCATATTTATATTATCGAATCCTATTTCTTGCCCATATACAATCCTACATAAATGAAAAAAAAAGTGGAAAAATGAAACAAAAAATAAGAAGTAATAAAAAATGTGATAGTATAAACAAAAAGAAGAAAAAAATAAATTACCCACCTCACATTTATATTGGATGGCGAAATTGACTTCTTAAATATAGCAAAAAAAGCATATGCAGCAATCGACTGATGGATGCGATTAAATTTTGAAATCATGAACATCATTTCTTCAACAATATCCAACTTTTTCAAGAAATTATCAACATTAAAAGCACCTTTTCTAGTCTCCTTCCGACCACGAGTATATTCAAAAATCCATTCGCTAACAATCAGTTCCCGATCCTGAATTTTAAAAAATATTTATCCTCAACAAATCTTTTAAATAATCATTTATCGTAAATTTAATAGAAATAGCAATAAATAGGCAAATAATTTCAAAAAATATTTTTACAGAATCCAGATCAATAGCATATTTTTCCTTGCAAAATGAACAGAGCAAATTTCGTTCAACGGATTTCGCCGTATAAACGCGTATTCGCTTCTTTGAACCATCAATACATTGAATAATCTCAAGATTCATTGGATCACCACCACTTAATTTTTCTTCAGCTTCTTTCCATTTTAATTTTTCTTCTCGCATCTTTTGTATTTCTTCTATTTCTTGTAATTCTTTTAATTCAACATCAGCTCGAAATTTCTAAAAAGTATGGTTTCAGAATTTGAACTATTTTCTATGGATTTGCAAAAATTACTAAAAATATTTAAAATATTTGATATTCGATATAAATACTTGAAAAATAAATGAAAAATAAAAGAACACTAGTAGTTCAGTTTCAGCAGCAGCCTTTTGCTGCAACATATGGTCATGAAATGAACCAACTGGTGGCTCATTTTTGTCGTATAGAAATTCTTGAACCATGTGGCAAAGCTCCATTATAATTTCCTATAAAATGCAAATATTTTTGTTTTTCATCAGATTTTTTTAAATAAAGAAATCATGCATAACGAAAAAAATGAGGAAAATTTAAATCTAAGCTAATCTAGATCGGATATAAAAGATAAGAAAACTTACTGATCCTCGATTCTCTTTCGCCTTAGCAATGAGATCATTCCTTAAATCGGATAAATCTTTTTTCGATATGCCTTTTGGATTCTCCAAAAAAATCTCGGGAATTCTAGAAAAATTCGCACTATAACAATATTTCTTTTATAAAACGGAAACAAAAAGTGGTAAGTAAATAGTTCTAATTTATAGAATCTAAATCAAATATCAAAAATCAAAAAAAATTGAAAATTAAAATAAAAGTATCAAAAAAATTATGGTTATGTTACTTTCGCTAAAAGCAAACAATTTGTCAGAAGACTGGTGTCTCGTCGAAAGTAAACCTGCCAATAAAAATGCTGTATCCACTAATTCTTCCCTATCTCTATGATAAAAGTTAAAATAAAATTAGACAAGCCAGCTAAAGCAGAAGTGGTGAGTGCTGCTTGAAGAAGGAAAAATGGACAAACTCGATTTCTGGATAACCTTCCGTACATTTCACGTGTAAATCGACTGAAACATACGATTCTAAAGTCGATGCACTAGCTGAGGAAACTGGCTTTAGATGTATTAATAAATCGAGTGGAGTCCAAACCTAAAAAATTTTCGTGGTTTCTATAAAAATTCGAAAAATAAATAAAATTAAAATGGCAAATAGCTATACATTAAAAAACAAATAATTTTTGTAGCGAATTATTATATTCATCAACGAACAAAATAAAGATCTGACCTTCGACCCTAATTCATGTTTCTTAACAGCACTAATCGAATTTTAGTTGGAAGTGAATGTCGCTCTTTTTTGTTATTTACTTAACCACACCAAAGAAACTGACCTTCCAGCGGTTTTCTTTCGGTACGAGGACGACATCATCACCATAAATCGAAACAAGAGCTGTTAATTCATCGTCCTGTCGATGTCTCGTGTCGTTTTCATACTCCATGCATAAAACTTAAAATTTATTGAAAATAAGTATAGCATCTCTCATATAAATTTACAAATTTTTAAATTGCGAATGATTTCGTAATTCACAAAAATAGACCGAAAGGCCAGAAAATGTTTTTAGAGAACTTCTTTATTCGTGGCCTGAAAGACAAATCATAGAAAATTTTGTACTTCTTTTCTGCAAATTCGTGTCAGCCAAGAAAAATGCGAGAGATGTCCAAAACCTAGTCGAGTGAGAAACGTCGGATGAAGAATGATCGAAATGGCGATTTATGATCGATAATTTAATTTATATACTTCAAAACGAACAAAAAATTTTCAAAGCATTAATAAAAAAATAAAGTTTTACGGGTCTTTCTTTACTAGAAATTACGAAATTATCTGCAAATATAACGAACTGAGCCACGAACAAGCTGAACCGATTACGAAGTGAGCTGCAAACGTTACTAAGATAACTGCAAGTGATAAGTTATGAGAAAAATTCTGGAATGAAAAATACTTTCATTGATTTACTGCCCACCTCTCAACGCTGCTGGCCCAAGGTGGTGCTAATCTGGACGACAGTGGCCCAAGGTGGTGCTAATCTGGACGGTATTGTTCGATTACGCCTTTTTTCTCATCTGGCAACACAAAAGGTTATATAGGTTTTTTCTTATGAAACAACCTGATAATGCTTCACCGAATTTTGACATCGGTTAATCTTTCTTCCATCAGCACTCAACCTTCCCAACTCTGCTGGTTCCATTCACTATTGCAGTGGGACATCTTGTCGGAGTTTTAGCTGAAATGTACCACTCGACCACACTTACTCCGACCTTCCTTGTAATCCTCCCCTTCTCGTCCTCTTCCCCTCTAAAGTCTGATGGCAAGTTTTGAGGATCCGAAATTCCGTAAAACAAACTTATTTCTAACTTTCATGCAAAAAAAAATGATTGAATTTAATACATTTTCAAAAATTCACTATGAACACATACTGGGCCGCAAATTTCAGAGTGCGGCTGCGTTGCATATTTATGCCAATGCAACAAATAGCGGCCTTTCATTAATTTTTGGTGAAGGTTGTGATGAGGGGTGGGAGAAGGGGGGAGTGTGAAATTCTTGGTTCCGGAGGGGTTGTATTTTCTGGTTAATTAGTCGGCGTAGGTGCAGGGTTCAATTTAGCTGTGACCACTACTTATCCACTGTTTCTGGTCGGGCGGACTTCACCGACCATCAGATAACTGCCTAGCCTTATCAGGGAACTGCGAGTGGTCCTATGCTTGAGGCTTGAGGCAGCACACCTCTTATTATTCAGTACTTCCTTTAAAATTGTTTTTCCCGCACTTTCTCTGTTGGTGATCGATGTGAATCGGATAGTCGACAACCAAACTTTCTGAATTAATTTTGAATATTCTCTTATGTCTTGAATTATTTTGTTTTTTGTTTTATTTGTTCATATAAAAAATAATTTTCTCTAAATTCTTGCGTAAGTGCTTTTAATTTAATCAAACTCTGTTTGTATTTTCAGGAAGAAAGGAAAAAATGGCTCAGACTCTGCTTAACGATATGATGACTAGAGGACCAGTTGGTTTCGATTTTTCCAACTGTACGCGTAATCTCGCTTTGGATTCACTTGGTGTCAAACCACCAAAGCTTCACAGTACTGGTACAACGATTGTCGCCGTTATTTATCAGGTAGGTAATTCATGGGTCATAAAATATGGTATAGAAAAATTAAAATACGAACTGTATTATTATTTGTTATGTATGGTTCTATCGAAAAGGCCTTTATCTGATGTCTGAAATGTCTGCGTTTTCTGAGAACAATTCCTAAACCAAGTTATCCTTCCAGTACCCTATAAAATCTCTTTATTTCTTTTTAACGTTCAATCCATTTCCATCCTTCATAGCTATTTTTCATATATTGCCACATCTCCCCAATAACTAGAAACGTGCTAGATTCCATTAATCTCCCTCGTTATTTTTTTTAATGCACCATAGAATCTTATTGAGTAGGAACATAGTTCAATTTATAAAATTTTTTAAGCTATGCCATATATTCATCTTGTAAAATTCGGAATTATTGTGATGTTGTACTATTAAAAGCGATAATGCTTATATGGTTTTAGGATGGTGTCGTAGTTGGTGCAGATACTAGGGCCACTGGTGGCAATATTATTATGGATAAGGAAATTTTGAAAGTTCGAAAACTTACCGACACGATTTATGCTTGTGGCGCTGGTACAGCTGCCGATCTTGATCAGGTCATTGTGTTTTTATGTTTTTTAATTAATCTTTCTTCGGATAGAAAGAATTTTTTAAAAATATGTATTTAAAACATAAGGATGTATTTAAAATTATTAATGTATGAGTCAACTAATAATTATTATTTTACTTATTGTATATTATAATTTTTTTTTTAAATAAGTAATATGTAAGCATTGTCTTTTGAAGGTATGTAAAATGCTATCTGCACAATTGCGTTTGTTGGAACTAAATACTGGCAAAAAAGTTCGCGTAGCTACTGCTTTAAGGCGGGCGAAGCTATATCTTTTTAAATATATGGGATACATTGGAGCATATCTATTAATTGGTGGTGTAGACTCTACAGGACCTCATCTATATCAAGTATTTTCAACCAAATGTTTGATTTTTGGACTCAAGAAAATTTTTTTTCTTTAAATAAAATAATTTCAGTGTCAAGCAAGTGGCAAAACGATGACCAGAGCTTACGCTTCTTCAGGATCTGGTGGTTATGCAGCTGGAGCAGTTTTGGAACGCAATTTCAAATTTGGAATGACGGTTAGTTCAACAAATTTTGCTTTTATTATTTTATTTTATTATTTTATTGTTTTTTAATTGAATTTTAAAAGATATTTTTTTATTTCGAATACGGTAGATGATTTTTTGAACTTCGATTTAGCGTCAATTTAAAATAAAATAAAAATGATCAATTTAATTTGAATTTTCTGGATTTTTTTTATTCAACAAACATTTTGCTGCAAAATGCTATGATTTATCTATTAATTTTTCATTACTTTCATACTTTTTACATTTATTTATTTATTTAGAAGATCAAGCAAAGCAAAAGCCATGCATTTCTATAAAAACAATAACATGAGCGTAATACGATATTAATAAAGTGATAAAGTAGGAAAAAAAAATAAAACCATTATATTACTGAAAATAGATTGACGATGGATTGATGTCTATGCTAAATATAATATCTTAGAAAATTCCTTTCATTTTAAAATTGGTAGAACGGAAAATACTTTAATATGAAGTTCATTCCACCAGTTAATACTATGAATGAAAAATTTAGAGAGATCACTTTTATTTTGTCACAAATTGATTTCCTTACCTTCATTATCCTTACTTGAATTTAAAGAGGATTTACAGTAACGATCAAATAATGTTTAGTATTAGATTTCGATTAATCCACCCTCCTTGATGAATCGAAATCATATAATTTGAATTTCGTCATATAATTAATAGATCTGGATTTTAACATCGTAAAAAGATTTTGCAAGCCCTCAATTAATTGAGTGACTTATTAAATCATGGATAGTAAAAGACTTTCTAAGTGAGGATCAATGAAAATTATTATACTAGTGAAAAGGTGGAGTATTATGCATACTGATAAGGAAAAATAAGGACCTGTTCTTAAAAATCTTGAGAAAATAGTCGAAAATTTTAGATTTTTTTTTGATAAAAGCACTAAGAATATAATGGCGATGGGAAGTAAGATATTTTAAAGTTATTTTTTATTTACCATGATCTGAAATATTATTAACACAATATATAACTCGAATATTATCCGTGAAAATTGGCAAAAGCCAGAAGATTTTAAATTAATGCAAAATTTTAATTCTTAATCTGCTTGTATCATTTAATGTTTGAATATTACTCGACAGAATAATAGCCTGTGAAATTTTAGCTTGAAGAAGCATGCGAGTTGGTTCAGCTAGCCTTAAGAGCTGGTATGCATGGCGACAATGCTTCTGGCAATATGCTAAATTATACCATAATTAATCGAGATGGGGCTAAGCTTATGGTATTTTTCATTATTTCCAAAAATTCTAATAATCATTTTCTTAGAAACATAAATCTAATTTTTAGCGCTAAAATTTGTTTTAAATCGGCTAATTAACCATCTTATTGCCTTGTTATAAAAATTTTCTTTTATCAAACAATAAATGATTCAGGGCCCGATAGTTCCAGAATTCTGCATGAAACCTGAGCCTAATGATCTAGATTACCGGTTCAAATCTGGCTCTACGAAAGTTTTGAAGCATAAGGAAATCAAATATGATGTTATTGAGAGCATGGATTTATCATAAATTTCGTTTTTTACTTCGTTTACCAGTTAAATTCTTTGAGAAAAATTCTCATTGAAATACAGTATTTTTTCTATAGTTTTAAAGAAAGTTCTAATCGTAATTAACAAAATTGTGATTATTTGTTAATGTATTCATCAGTAAAAGTTTTCCCTTCCCAAAACTTTATTCTACAAATTTAAAAAGAATCAAGTAAAAATGAAAAACTGCATAGCTAAAGTTTTGCCATCTGTAGAATATTTGAAATGAAATATGTTGATAATAAAAGTGATATAAAGTAGAAAAGATCAAGGAATTACGCTACTCATGGTGGCTTTTCGTGCACCGCTGGAGATTTCCTTTTTTAAGCTACTGTTAATGCTTGACAATAAGCACAGAAGATATATTAATAGCAAATATGCACATCATTTTCGCCAAATCACTCAGCAGATTTGCTGCAACGATTAGAAACTGATAAACGTAAGTTGGAAATTTCACAAAAATTCGATCATCGTGAAAAATAATTTAAAAATTTTGTGGTTGGCATTCTTTAATTGCACTGTAAATAATCTCCAACATTTGAAGATTCGACATTGGCCAATCGATGTTATAGAAATTTTCTGAGGAGGCGTATACATTTAATATATTTATATACATATTTCCTTAACATATTTGCTTGATACACTCCAGTTTCCATAAAAATAATTTAATCTCTCACTAGTTAAATCGAACTGGTTAACTGATAATAACTGATAACAGTTTAACTGATAGCGAATGTGGATATCCAAGTATGGAGTCTTCCTTTATTGCAATAATTTTGTTAGCATTTGGCATAGCATTAACTTTATAGCATTTTCACGGAAATTTTCGATCACACGATTACCATGTAAATAATTGCCAAAAAAGTTAAGAAGTTGGTGTTTTTGCATTTATTGATATTTGCTTTGCAAATATATTTCACACCAAAATTATCGGACTGCAGTTTTTCATTCCCTCATTGATATTCAATCAATGATTTTTGCAATCATAATTAAGTGGTTAGTGGCTATTTCTGATTAGATTTGTGCAGCTGATTGTTAATGCGATTGAAAATTTCCACCAAGGTACTTGGTTAAAGGAGGCAGATGGATCATGCAGAGAAGGCAAAGTTATCCCTGTCGGAAACGTTAGCAGGACCCTTTCCCCTTAACACGGTAATCCGAGCCAAGCTACCGTCCACTAGGTTATCCTGCGCACTTGAGATTATAAAAGGAAATGAATTTCCACAATATGAACTGAAAAAAATAAATAGTCCGCTATGGTCCATTCTTTTAAAACTTTTTTGAACAAAAGTTTTTTTCCATGGAATCCACATAATTCACAGTTTCTGCTCTTTTCCTTTTTTCAGCAGTCAAATTCAATGATAGTTTCGAAACTAGTTTTTAAAGCTTGGAAGAATCTTGCATTCATTAATATAGGTTTTGAAAGGCGTGCATTTTGACAGGGATTTCAACCCATATCGAAATGGATTATGAAAATCTCAAAGAAATTCATTCTTTGCAACGAATTCAGCACGAAATAAACCGTAAATATGTTAACAGTTATAGCATACACGACACGAATTATCTATGATTTTTTTTATCACTCTGTAATTAACTCAGTTTTGCAGTTTTGCAGTTTCGCAGGATGTCTTCCATTAGATCAGAAAATCTGCCATATCGATAACCAAATTATCGCATTTTTTTACTTGATGAAACTAAAAATAACTATTATTACTATCGCCTCGTTAAATGGCCCTTTTACAGTTTTTGACTTTTATTTGCAATAATTTTCAGTAAAATAAATTTTATGCTTTGTGCTGAGACAGCTTATCATATTCGTTCTACTTTACTATATTTGGTAATATTCTTCGAAAGCATTCAAGCACACTTCTATGCCTAACTGCCTTCACTGGCCACTCATCAATTAATGATTGAGATACCCCACTCAGATATTAAATGCTATAGAGAAATGCGAAGTTGAGAACTGAACTGCACATCGTTCTTTCTTTAATGCTTTTTGGATTTTACTTTTTACTTATTTTTATTTCATAAAATATAAAATATATCGTTTATGAAATTTACAAAATGCTCGGTCGTGTAAGTTTATATTTAAGGAGAAAAACTTTTCCAAGGCCATTTCACTGCTTTATTCGTTGATTACCTAATTTTACAAAAGTATTAGCTTTTATTCCATAATTGTATCCCTCGAAATTACGAATGGAATAAAATCGTTGCTCGCACGAAATGCTTTTAAGATTTTTCCAAGTTATGCAAAATGCGATAAAATTTGTCAACTTGACATTCTGTCGAGCATCTTAACAAAAATTTTAGCCTTTCCGTTTTTTGGTGACCTTCTTTTCTTGTTGATTTTTGATCATATAATTTTTCTTCTAATAAGAACAAAGGGGAAATTAATAAATCTAATAAATTCAGAGGCGTCAAAACTCTATTTTAATATTAGAAAAAATAGAGTATCGCATTATTGAATTGTTGACAGATAAAATAGTTGCCAATGAATAGATTACTCTAATTCTACTCTCTACTCTAATTTTTCGCAAATTTTCCGGTAGATTTTTTCTGTAATCCGAAAATGCGAAAAGCAGAAAATGTTAAGGATTGCATCTTAGGTGTCTGCAAAGAATCTTCCTCATTAGGGAAATAAGTCGTTGATTCTCTGCTAAATTTGAACTAAAAAAAAATGGTCGCTGATCGTATAAGCAAACAAAAGACGCGGGGACGAGATAGCAATTCTCTTAGCGTTATGTAAATACCGAAGAGTTCAATTCGATCCTCGAGATATACCATTTGATCGAAAATCCAGGGAACTGTAAATACGATTTTTCGATTTTCTTTGTTTTGATTTGATTTGATTTGTAAATTTGCTCTCAAAAATTCGTTTCTCATTCATTTCTGAATGGAATTTAATGAAGGGAAATTTTTTTTGATATAATTTGCTTATGAATGGCTTTTGAAAGAGCTCTTTTATCCATTTTATTCCTTATAAACCCGTTATACAAATAGAATGAATGGTTTCCTCCTGCAGCATTCGCTTTTCTTTTTCTTCAAGTAGCATTTACCACTTCAACTTCGAGCACTATAGGTTTGCTTCTTTGCCAGAAGCAAACTTGTCATAAAAAAGTTTGGGTGGCAACCCAGACTTTCCTCTATCGACTTGGCAAGTAACCTTCTAGTAAAATTTCTAACAGTACTAACAGCAAGTGAAGTTTGCCATATAATGGTGATCGCTAGCCAGTTGAATTATTTATTTACTCTTTATTCTGTTCCGGAAAGCGTAGGAAACTTTTTCACTTAAATATCCATAGATGTTTCTTGGAAAAATTTCAAAATTTTTCTAATCTCTTATCAATCGATATGCTTTCGGAGTTTTTCTTTTTTGCGTTTATTTGTTCGGCAGTTTATGATATTATGATAAGAATTAAGTAATAAATGTATTAAAGGCGCCACAACCATCGGTGATATTTAAAATGTGCCTGAAACCACTTCAAAAAAATTTTTTTCAATTTTCGGGCTTTTTAAAATTCTCACAGTTCAAACTGAAGTCTCACTTCTTATGTTTTTTTTTTCGTCTTATGATCTAATTTATTTAATTTATTTATTTATTTATCTATGATCTAATTTTATTGAACATTTTTGTATTTCGCTTCATATTTGCGATTGGAGATATTAATTTCAATTTGAATTTATCAGCAATAATTAATATCCATTAATGAATGATTCAACAAAACATCCTAGAAATTGGATTTAAATGGTTTGTATCTGTCTTTAAGACCTTCAAATTGTTTCAAATTGCTTTATATTAATATTTCTCCTCTTTCCCAGTTTACTCTTTTATTCTGCAGAATTTCATGAATTCTACTTCGATTAAACAATAATATTGCAGATCTTAGGCAATTAAGTGATTAGCACTTACCATTTCTAGTTAGGCTATCTCTGCTGACTGTTAGTGCGGTTAGAAACTCTTGTCAGAGGGTTATTTAACGAGAGGTGCAAGCACCACCCAGCTTTTTTAATGGCAGATTGGATCCTTGCATCTCCGATGATCCTATCACTGTGAAAATGAGTTATTGCTTAATGTCAGCGATCATACTAGAGGGGAAGGATGAGGCGAGGTGGACAAACTAAACTAAATGTTATTCCTCTTCCTAGATTGGAGCAAACTAGTTAAAAATGAAATGAAATCGGCGTGATGCTGTTAGGCATTAAGTAAGAGCCAGAACCTTGCCTGTACTTCTATCTAAAAATAATTCTGTGGCGAAAACGTGGATTGGATCCCATTCTAAAAACCAGTGGAATGCGCCAAAGCAGAAATAGTGAGTGTTGTTCAAAGAGGGCCATATTATAATATATTTGATACGAGTTGTCAAAGTTTTTCACTGGAAAATTTAAAAGCAAATGACAAAATTTATATGATAAATGAATCAAAAAACAATGGTGGCCATTTGCCTTTGATCTACATTGTGAGAATCGTGAATTATTTCAAATAAATTTGCTTAATTTCAAAACGTTAATCGTTTTTCTAGGAATGTTGAGATCGTTTATCAACGTGACTTTCTCCATCGTCATTTAATTTACGGTCATTTGTCTCGGTTGACACGAAACCATTGAGTGATTTATTATTTCATGGTTCACATTTAGTAAAGAAAGAAATTTAATGAAGAATACTCACAAGATGAAATATTTATATGAAAATGTCATCTGCTTCCGTAAAAACGCTTCAAAAAAGCTCGATGATAGATTTTTGAAAATTTTTTGCAATTTTTAGCATCTTTTATCAACTGTACAGATTTTTCATATATATTTATTCTCCAAAGATTTACATTTTAACAAATTTCTTACCAGAACAAATTTATCACTAAAATGCTTGGATGGAGCTCGATGAACCATTTGTACCACTATCGCCAAGTTTTGTTCATTTGCTCATTTTGTTCATTTGCATTGTTTATTCTTTAATGGTAGAATAGAAAGCGCTTGTTGCATGGACTATTATTTTGAGCATAGTTGAGCCTCCGATAGAAATAGACCTATCAAGATGTACAATATTTTTAACTCTCAATTAACTCTTAGCAAAATATTTCATCCAACTGGCAGCGAGTGCTTGCTTAATGATGAATGGTTTCTATTTTTATATATTTTTTCCTCTTATTTTTATTCTAATTCAAGATATCAATAATTATATTTATTATCGATATTTTTATTCTGTTAGGCATTAAGTAAACAAAAATACTTTTAATTATAAAACGCATCATCGCAAGAATTATCGCGGCAAGTGGTACCATTAATTATGTAACCGGTTGGAAAGTTGATTAAATGACCTATACATTATTGCCAATATTTTAATGTGAAATTATTTCGATAGATGTTACTATTTATTCATTTTTAATAAGGCATTTTAAGTCATTTTAATCATTGAAAAGGCTTTATCACTAAATTTTTCACTTCATCAAAATTTGAGCTGCCATAACTGCCATAACTGAGTTGTTGCTGAGATCATCAAGCGAAATAGTTCAAATTTTCTGCTTCCGACAGGGCTAAGCTTGATATTAAAAAGTCCTTATGGTGTTCGACCACACTTCGATTGCGCGATCTAACTATACTTCTACCAAGACTCCTTGATTAAAAATTCTCATTAATAGTTCTCATTTTAATTCTCATTAAAATGGGTCTAAACAGGAATAGTGAATAATGACCACTTATTTTTTATTTGATCGGTCGCTAAACTGATCATTTTATGTTAAATTTTAAAGTTTTAAACAATTTAAAAATTTTTGTCGACGATTTTCAAGTTCTCCTTAATTTTTTGCTTATTAAAATTGGAGAAACAGCGAGAATTCGCTCAATTATATTTTCATTAAACTATCAATTCAGCTTAATTTGCAAGTATAATTTTGATTTTTTCTGGCATATTTAGCGGTCGGAAAGAAAAAAATTTATATTGAAAATAATGAAAATATTCTTAAGAACAACGCTAAAAGCTTCTTTATAGCATCCAAAAACGATTCACCAAACTACTTTAAATGATTAATGAGAAAAGTGACGCAGGTCGGCCCTTTTATTTTTGCCGTAATTTTCTTCACAACTTTTAATTATGCAGATTTTATCATATTTATGCATTTTTTCGAATGTTGCGATCAGTTAAATCCCAATAATATCAAAGTTGTAAAAATATACTCGAGTGGTTATTAGTTAAAGTGTTATTTTGAGCATCATGCATGCATGGTTGAGCACCTTTCCTTGGTGAACTTGCCATTAAAATTCCACATGTTGCTGGGACCCAACTTCACCTGCACTTAAAGTGACTCCGTGGTAAAAAATTTCATCGTACTTGATCAGTGGACTGAAATTGCTAATTATTTATAAACATACTTATAAATGCAAAAATGCTAAAACGATTTCTTTGATTTGTCGATAGTTGAAAAAAAATTTTAAGAATAGCAATTCCTGTTTTCTTGTTTCCTCATTTTTGTGATCCATTTATTTAATTAATTTCAAAATTTTTTTGTGGATTTCTTTAAGACAAATACCTCAAGTTGTTTGAAATATTTTCGTTCTTATTTCTGATAAAAATTGGTGATAATTGTTTATATGATTTGCTTGTCATCAGTTATCCCTAAGTGAGTTGGGAACAAAATATATCTTATCATAAGCAAGTGGAGCTAAAGACCCATCTATATTTCTGTCCCTAAGTGCCTCTGTGGTTTTACAGGCAGTGGAGCTAGCCGAAGCAGAAATAGTAAATGCTGTTAGGAAAAATGGGAGAGACACCATATCATAAAAGGTTTTGGTTCATTTTTTTTTCGACATTACCGGCAATCAGCTAACATAAATTTCGATTCTGTTTTTCATCTCTGAGATTTTTCATTTTTTTCATAAAGTATGAACCACAATGTTGCATGAAACTTCGCTTTATTATTTTAAAATTTAATTAGAATAATTTTTCGTATGAAAATGAAGCGACAATAAAAAATGAGACCGAACTAATCGAATCACTAAATCATTTCGATGCATTTGTTTTTCAGTTTTATTTGCGAAAAGCAAACCTCATCGAGAAAACTTTTCAAATTGCTAAGGGCATTTTATAGTTTTTTTACTATATATGATACTTGTCGCTATTGTTTGTCATTGTCTCATTATTTCGATTTCGATTCCTATTTTGCTGTTTGAAGAATAGCAATAACGAACGTACAAATATGAAACAACTGCTTTATTCGACTTCGATATTTTTCATGCTTTCAACCTTATCAAGCATAAAGGTAACATTGCTTCTTTAATACATACGGCATCTTTTTCCACTTGTGTGAGGAAAATAGAAGTATGAGGTAAAGGTATTACATTTAGATAAAGGTATTATAAAGGTATAAGGCTTTTAGTACAACAAGATGTTCCAGTTGTATGTTGATGGGAGTAAATCTTGTCGATATGAATCAGGAGTGTTGCTAAGGACCGATTTGTACCATTATCTTCAAGCAATTTTCCGTCAAAAGCACCTTTACGCTAACAACAGCAGAACCAAATTAGAAATAGTTCTTTATTCCGATCCCATCCAATTATTTTAACGTAAATTCTTCAAAATTTTTTAAGCTAAAATTCTTTCTACCAATATTGTTAAAAAAAATTTAAAAGGAGCACTTTTCATTTTTCCACAATTAACTGATTCATTTAACAGTAATTTATTTATGATTTATTGCACACATTTCTTCGAAGGATGGTTATAGCTGAAAATTTTTTGCCACTTTTTGATAAAAATATTTGCTAAGGTGTGAAAAACGTAAAAACTGGTCGTTTGTGCACCTTTAATATTAATTCGATGATTTGAAAATTTACCAATTATCAATTGAGAAGAAATAAAATTTTTCTGAATTTAGGCAAAATAGTTTTGTCGTACTTATCATCGCGTTCATTTCCTATCCTAATCCTAATGATCAATAATTAACTCTTAAATAATATAATAAATAATTATGTTGCAGAGGTATGGAAATCTGCAGATACCATCTGCAGATTGGTGTACCTTATCTCTTCCTTAATCTCAGATGTAGAAAAGTTATTTATCCACAATTAATGAGCAATTATTCCACGGCCTTATATTTTATGAATTAAAATTTTTTCTTTAGTTTCACATGGTTAAATACCTTAATTTAGCATAAACGCTTATCATTTTGTGTTTAATGATGGGAAGCAAATAACCTTTATTTTATCCTATTCTGGTACTTTATTGATGAGGAGGAGTTCCAGCAAGTTTCAACAGATTTTTCTTCTAACACACCATTTTTGGTCTAACTAGTTTTACTGGCTATTAGGATGATATTCATAGAGAGCCACTTGTAAGCCAAATTTCATTTTTCATGAGGGATTTACTCGTGTCAAAGGACACCTCGATTCTTGATTCTATTCGTTTGCCTCAACAAATTAGCAGCTATTGCATGAATACTATTATTATAAAAAAATTTCTAAATATATTAATTAATTATGACATATGGTTGAGAGCAAAGGCATCAATCGATAGAAACGATAATGTTGAGCAAATGAAAGAAGAGACCTCAATCATTAAGGGGAAATGCAAAAATAAAAATACGTTTGACGATTCCTCGAATAACGCCATTCGAGAACGCATAAAGTTAATCGTGGATGTTGGATGCCAAAACAAGTGTCGCGTATGTCGACACTATTCTAAATTAAATTAAAGTCAGCTTTACCACCCTTTAAATGAATGTTTGTTATACATATTCTATATATGTATAGAATTCACTTAATATGAGTACAGTTATGCAATTTAGATTCCTTAAAAAGATAAATCATTTGCCAGTTAAAGCCAACTTCTAAACTTTAAAACTAAATTGTGGGCCTATAATTTTTGAGTTATTGGAATAAAAGTTGTGTTAGCACCTTTTGTATGTCTATTTTTTAAAGAAATCCACGCCGTATTGCACTGTTACCTTTGGATTTCTGTAATTTCTAATTTCTATTATTTTTATTTAGAAAGATTGCTGATTGTTTGTGTATTGTGTTATTAATGATTTTACTATGCCTTTCCCTGCTTGTTGGTTTTCAAAAAAGTGATTGCCATTACCAAGGGAAGCTGGCACTCTGTCCTTAAGTGAGTCATTTTGCAAAAAGGTTGTGGCAGTAATTTCTCATTCTACTGGTAGCCAATGGAGCGAATCTAACAGAAATGACGAGTGCTAATTCTGTTTACTTACCTACGCATAATAACAAGTCTAAAAAGGTAATTCGAATTTCCATGAAATTGTTGGGAATGAAGGAATATTTCACAGTGTGTGAATACGAAAGAAAAAGAAAGTTAAAGCGACAGGATAGCCAGGCGAATAAAAATTTATATTTAAAAACACAAAATTATCTTGAAGAAGCTTTGTCACTAAAAGTGAAATCCTAATGATGCCTACTATAATTTTATCTCTAAGTTACCAGTTAAAGCCATCTTCTAAACTTACGAAATTATTTCACCACAATAATCAGCCACTGGATCCAGCCGAAACGTTACTAAGTTATTGTTATGAAATTATTTCATCTTAGAAAGTAAAAGATTTATCCATAAAAGTAAATTTACAAAAAGTTTAGCAAGTTTCATTTTTAATTAATTTTTAAAACTACACAATATTTCAATTATATTTTTAAGATTTAGAAAGACTTCTAATTTTTGTTAATTATAGGTTACGGACGATACGCCATTGGTGAAACTAACTGATCACTCAAACGCAGTGAACAATTACGATTGCTCTTGCAGTAAGAATCGAGAAGTTTTAACAAAAGCAGATGAAAATCTTCGACTGTTACTTCGTATATCCTCTGTTCGCTTGCAAACTTATTTGCAAAATCTCGCACATCTTACAAACGGTTACTTTTTTTTAGTTATACTATGTGCGTTCCTGTTTGACTTTTTTACGCAAGAAAAAAGTCAAATGAGATGAGTATTTAAGAACGATGAATAAAATTGCAAATTTATAAAATCAAAAATATGCTGCCTTATTGATCGATCAGTATTGCCAATCCGAATAAAACGTTAAGATCACCACAAGTCCTAGTAAAAGTAGATAAATGACCATGAATTGTTGAGAAAACTCGAATAGCGCAGTTAAAAAGTAAATATTACCATTCTTGTGAATTAATTTTGACTGATTTTAATTAGTATGTGAAAATTTAGAGAAATTTCGGTGTTCCACTGATTTTTATTTGTACTTTATTCATCTGATAATGGCTTTGCCTAAGACTACATTGTCAAATGACAGATGGTCATATTCCTGCTGAAGAGGCTGATGCAACATTTTTTACTTAGATTATGATGGAATTGCATCTTTGAAAAAACTTTAAAAAATGGGAGATTTGTCTATTTTTTTAGGGGATTCGATAATTTGATGATATTTCACACATTAATAATAATTTAATGATTTTGATATGGTAATTTTAATATGTTGGAAAGAGGGATTATAGGGTTTAAACTGGTATCGTAACGCTTTACGAACTTTTAAGAAAATGCACATATTAATGCTCAAAAAATCAAAAAAATTGCTCACATGAATATATATTTTTTTATAATATATTTTTATATTATATAATATATGTTCAAGGTGAATGACCCTCTTCTTTTAATAGCACCATATCTGGCTTGGTTGACCCGACTAACTGTTAGGATAAACCGTAACCCATAATATTTATATATTCATTAATAATATTTACATTGCATTCTCTTTTCAAATAAACTTCTAATTAATGATCGTTTATTTCTTTTATTTCTTTTATTTCGCGCATTAATCAAAAATAGTGTAACTGCGAAACTGGATCTTGTTTTTCTAGCGGAAATAAATTTAATTGTTCAACGGCGGAAATGGAATTTGTATGATGAGATAAGAAGAAATTTTCGGCAGTTTTTAACGCAGCCGTCATTCGCTGATTCAATTGAAGAATTGTTTCATAAAATACTTAATCAACTTTTCATGTCAACAGTTAGGTTTTCATGTCACATATTTAACTTTTCATGTCATAATTAATTAATTATTTTGAGTTATCGGATAGGGGGAACACCATTCTTTATTTGACTGTTCTATTTATTAACATGGCGCTGGAGATCTTAAAGACGAGAGCAATTTAAAATAACGGAGTTATTAATGCGAAAAAGTAAGATTTGAACCCATGATACTTGACTTCAATCGAAGCGACTCAATGATAATGAAGAGAGAAATGTTATCTAGTACCACTAGGTTTTTTATTCTTATTTTTATTTTTTGATGAATTTTGAATGATGAATTTTTTTGGAAAATTTCGGTAAAAAATTTCTAATAACTTCCATTATTTAGAATTTCAGCATTCATTTAATGTATTTTTTTCCAAAATAGATAAAAAAGTAGCAGCAAAATGAAATATTATTCTTACTGCTTTAAATGATAGTTTGTATTGTCTGAATTATGAACGATAATTCTGGAAGCAATATGAGTCTTAGAATTATTTTCCTCGTGGCCTTTTAATAGGTACAAATTGATACATTATGATTAAAAACTAAAAAAATAATTCTTTTTATAAAAAATAATGAAATTCGATATACTTCTTGATTTATAAAATTCTGAGGTAAGAGGAGGTTGAGATACATGGTTGCTTCGTTACACTTCGATCATCATAGGTTCGATTCATTGCAATCTATTTTTAAAATCTGTTTGGTAAAAAATACTAGCAACAATGGAAGTAGAAATGAGAGCTTACTTATTTTGCATTTAAAAATCCAATAGTTTTACCATTCTTATTTGAATTCTCAGGATTTGATACCAAAGCGAATCGAAGTTGACATGGAGCAAGCAGTTCAAAATTTTTTTGTTCAAATCATGCCATCAACTTTTTTATGCATGACTGGCGGATCATGTCTATCAGTCACTCAGTCTTACGCTAATTGTATTCAGAAAAACTCGATTTCTTGGAAGATTTTTTATGGAGACGGACCAAATAAAATGGCAATCAGTTTAAGACAAGATATTCTCAAGTATCGTATTATCGAAAAATCGATTGACAAGCTATATAGGTGATAAAATTAAAAATATTAAAGATATTAAATAATGTTTAAATTAAGAAAATTAATGAACAATCGTCGAAAATCGTAGATTTATTCATAATTTATAGGCCAATTAGTTAATTCGCATGATAAATTTTAAAAAAAGTTAAGAAAATATTGATAAAATATTAATGAAAGTTATTAATGGTGAAATATCGTAACATTCAATATCTCAAGCTTTCGAATCTTCTTTTTGACCAGAAAAAACGTGTCATTGAAAGTGGAACCTAGATCATGCCGAAAAATCGCGACATAATTTTAAAAAAGCCATAAATTATTCAAAAATAAACAACCATTGAAGGTTCGTTTTGGAGAGTGAGTCAGTTAATGAATCTTGTGTTGCGAGTTACGCATCAATAGTGCACTGTGGCCAGTATTGTATTCAGAAATATTCGGCAATAGATATACCAGGTTATTGTCGTGACAAATGCCGATCCGTCATAGCTGGATGTCTGGGACAAAACGCGATAGATTGGGATAGCTTCATTATAATACTTCGCAAATTAAGCATCGACTTCGATAAAGGATTCAGCGCAGTAAGATTTTTTGCTAAAAATCATTGGTTTTGTGGTTTTCCTAGATTTTCCAAATTAGAATTTTGGTAATGGTAACTCTAGAAAAATAAAAAAAGTTAAGATGTTCAAGCGATAATAAAAATAGCGTTTACCAAGGAACTGATAATATCTTCAGTTGGACCGAAGTATTATTGATGCTATATCTCATGCCTTGGAATATAATGCACCAACGATTGCCAAGACTGTTTTGAGAAAATGTGGAGCTGTTAATGTTTCTAAAGCTGCTATCAAAATTGAGTCAACCGTTCTTAAAAAACCTAACATTGAGCGAAAAGCAGCATCTATGATCCAAGAGGTTGGTGAAAATTCGATTTCGATCTCAAAGTGATTTGTAAAATTTGTGTTATATTATTTTTCGATAATGCATAAAAATTCAAGCCATATTTGAGAATTTATTATTTTTGTGTTTTGTAGTTAAATCAAACCTTTTTTAAAAAATCTAAAATTTTTTTCCCTTAATCTGATTTAAGATTAAACAAATAAATAATAAAGAAATGGAAGTTATGAGTTTATTTCGCAAGATAATCGTTAAATATTCAAATGGAATGTTTCTTCAAAACATATTTCAGCTTGATTCCTATTCTGGTTGGTGGAAACGCTTAGGCGAACATGCTTGCAGTAGCGGTTCTATAACAGCAACCTGTTGGGATGGCACATCTATTATTCACAGGTGAGGCTAATTTTCAATGAAAAGAATTTGCATAACGATGAGTCAAAAAATAAAAAATGAAATATCATCATCAGAATTTTGGTGTTTTAGTTGATCTCTTCCACTTAACTTCAGACCTATAACTCTCCACTTAATTTAGTAAAATCACCATTTGGATTTCAAATTTGTGGTCCAATTGTACCATCGTCTTATAGAAATTTTTCATTGTACAGAAATATTTTTTTCTTCATTTTCTTGTCTACTTCAAAATGATTGAAATGATTTTAAAAAAATAACTGGTTAATTAGGATAGAAAGCAGGGAAATCAGTACAATTTGACTTTTCATTGTAATTTCAATCTTTTATTTTATGATTTCGAAAGTCATTATCATCATTAATTTATTGATTAAAATTTAATTATTGATATTCAAATGATATTAATTTATTTTTTAAAACTGGTTTAAAAATTCTGCCAATGAAATTTCTATTTTTAATAAAATTTCACGCTTTTTTCTGATTTATTACCGTTCATATGAAAATTTAAATAATTTATTTAATTTTTTTATTTAATACTAAATAATTAGTATAATTAGTATATCATTAAATATCTCATATTTTAACAAAACACTCGCCATTTCACTTAATATTAGGATGAATTCCAGAGAGTTGCTTTGAGATAGAAATACAGATCGATCCGTAGAAAAATTCGGAGTTCCCTTTCAAAAACATGCTTTCTCGCATCAACGGGCAGAAACCAAATTCCTTATGGTTTGAGATTTCGTTAATCTTCTTTGAGATTTATCTCCTTGATTTTCTGTTCTGTAGGAACTACTGACAGTTTTGTGTTTGATTTATTTTTTTCTCAAAATAAATAGAATAGATTCACAATTACAGGTTAGACTATGAGATCTTAAATATCCTCACCAATATTTCCTCGTAAAAGAGTGCCTTATGACCTCCTTGTCTTATTTTCACTAATATCATTAATTTTATCGTCAAAAAACCCTTAAATATTTGAGATCCTATTCTTTTCTTGCTTTATATCCCAACTGTAGCAATCCAAACAGCTTGTTCCAATTTTTTTGTTGTTCAAAATTAGATAAACCAATTCTCTTCGTATTGATATTGATCAAAAGCGATCGATATTCTTATCAAATTTTCAGAAAACTTAGGTACTTTATGAATTAGTAAGAAAATTGGTGATTATTACATCGAAAGGTACTCCTACCTTCTTATCCCTAAATTCCATGTTCCGAAAGTGTATCGATGTAGAATATTTAAAACTTTTTTCTTCGCTATTCTTGATTTGCGACTGCTCATAGTAAACCTTAAGTATAGTAGTAGATTAGTAAGATTAGCAGATTAGTAATTTAGCATTTTAGCATTTAGATAAGGTTGGCTATGAGAATGAGAAATTTCCGCCAAAGAATTTCAGGAAGATATAGATGAGTTCCTTGCACTAGGATTTTTTTCGATAACAGGTTGGTTTATCTGCTAAGGCTAACAACCAATCGATGGTATTTGAAATGATGTTTTAGCAATGCAGTCACTCAAGCATGTTATTACAAATTGTTATGTCAGAAATACAAAAATTAATGTCATTAGCAAGTAAAAATGACAATGATATTGACAATGATATAAAAATGATCGAAATGATATTGAATTTCTTATTTTTACGAATATTTTTTTTTTCATTTTATAACGGTAAGTTTCGTAATAACCAATGGGCGGAAAAAAATTTATCACAAATAATCATCTTTAGCATTTTTCCAATTACACTGCGAACAACAAGGTTCTACCAAGTGCGGCATTTTTTTCTAGGCACCACATCTCTCAAAACACCATTACTGAATTTTAGAAATGGCAATTTTAGCTTTTTTAGCCTTCTGGTTGCTTAAAAATAACTATAGACTAATTCCAATGTGAGTAAAAGCAAAAAAAAACCAACAGTTAGACGTCTAAGATTACTGCTTAAGGGCGCTCACCATTGCTGGTTAGGCTCTTTTATCGAATCAGACCGGGAATCATTTGGCGATGGAAACAATACTGTAGGTTACAAATCTATGTTTTTTTCTGTTCAATTCGAAAGGATAGGAAGCTCGTTAGCAATTACTGAATTATTTTAATCTTATTGTGACTGACGGCATTGTTTTCCTTTTCTTTTTTATAATTATACCATTATATCATCCATTATTTGCTCCTAGTTTGATCTAAGGTTAGTTAATCTTAGAAATTAATTTATTAAAACTGAACATGGGACAACTGAAGACCGAGTGGCTTAAATTTTTTAAGAAAGGAGAGTTCAGCTTTTGTGTATGGAAAGAGTAAGATATTTCCTTGACAAAAATTTCAATATACTATTAGTCAAGGGATCGAGTTTAATCAGAAGTGATAAGCGCTGTAATCAATGACGAAATTCTATATATTAATCGCTTTTGATACTTTATATTGTTTTTATTACTCAAAAACTCAACAAAAAGGGTTTGAAAAATCTTTTAAATTTTATTAATTTACTAGATTTTATATGATGAATATTGGTTGCGTATGCTCAACGAAAATTTTTGATATTAGGTTGAAAATTTAAACGATTCTGTTTTGGTTAAAAATTATTAATTTAGGGGATTTTTTTTAAATTTTCATAGTCGGATGGATTTGACTTTTTTTATCACTGATTTAAAATTTATTACATAGTTTTCCTTTCCTGTTCAATATTTTTATTCGAAAAATTTTGATTAATTGATTCATCACAATAAAAATCTCTCTTAATTATTCATAATTTATTATATTATAATTTAATAATATTAAAAATATTGAATACTTTTATTATGATGAATATTTAATATTTAATATAATAATAAAATATTAATTAATGAAAAAAAAATGTAAAAATGTCAGATGAAATTTAAAATAATCTTTTTTCAGTTTGAATTATCTTAAAAGATTGTATCATCAAATTATTTGCTGTAGAAAAAAAACTTAAGCCTTCTTCAATTATACTTTTTTAATTTAATGTTACTGAGAAATTAAAAAACCGCAATGCTGCACCATTCATTTCACCACTCATTTGTTTACAAAACACGTGGGTTGATGGATACTTTAAGAATGAAAATGAATTTCTTGAATTTCATTTGCTATTCTTCGTAAAGCAGAATTTCATTTGGTAAACCACTCGAGAATAATCTTCTATTTATTTCGCGTCAGATTACTGCATAATGTTTTTTTGCTCGATTCTTTAGGTTTTCATCGTGCTTTTTATATTTTTAACCTAAGGGAAATCAGAAATTCTGCTTGGATGCACAAGTTGTTGGAAGATTTCAACTAATCTTAATCTGGCTCGAATTAGAAATATTAACGGTGAATTGCGATACATATCCTATCCTTCATAATCTAACCATTTCTGGTTCGGATGCTTTTACTGGCCATTAGGATGAGACAACTAGTTGAGGACAACTAGTTTGCCCAGCGTCGCGTGAATTTCACTTTCGCTCTTTTCGCCTAGTAATAATACACTTCGATGTTTGAAGTTCGTGAAGCAACATATTGCTCGACCAGTCTTTTCATGAGACTTTTCACATAAACGACATTATATGTGAATATTAATAAACGACATTATATGTGAATGTTAATAAAATGACTTTATTATGTGGTTTTTTTCATTCAAATTTGTATTTAAGAATTCTCAACAAATATTTTTCGTTGAATAATTTCTGGCATTGGATTATCTTCATTGGATTGAATTTAAGAGCATCTCTATTAAAAATTTTTGGCATAAAAATTTTTCTAAAGATTAAATTGGTATGAGTGGAACAAATTGGTGAAAATAGCTTCTTTATTATCGAGTCGTGCGGCAAAGATTGAGTTCCTACTTCTGATAAGAGCAAATCTGTCATCAGAAGTGTCAAGTGGCGCTGGCGATCCACCTATCGACAAGTAATTCCCCATCAAAAATTTCCAACAGTACAATAGTACAATGATGCAGAAATGATGAGCCTTAATCACTTTTTTTTTTCATTGATTTTCTTAAAAATCTTCGTGTTAAATCTTTTTGCCTTTCATAAGATTCTTTCATTAGTCTTATTTTATAAAGAATTTAGCTTTTTTACATAATTATGTTGTTTTTGCAAACTCGAAAATTTTTTTATATGGGAAGGTTGTTCCGAATTCTCGATTTAACGTTTTAAATCAAACGTTTGTTCTCGTTTCTAAGAAAAATTTCATTTCATCTGAATTCTTTTTCTTTCATATTTCCCATTTAAACGGAGCTGTGGAAGTGAAACTTCAAATCTGTTGGCAATTAAAATTTTTCCGAATTTCGTCAACCTATTTACTTTTAAATATCATCAATATTTAGTTGTTAGCAATATTGAAAGAAATCAATTTTTAATGAGATCGAAAATTGAAATTGTTTTCTTCATTCCAACGTTTTTTTTCAATTTTTTCAATAGGATTACGAAAAGAAACTATGGATAAAACGATTTAAAAATTGACAAAATAATCGTTATTCTCCAGTTTTAATGACTGCGAGAAGTAAGTTGGAAACTTTCGTTATTGTGGTGCAATTTTTATTATTTCGATATTTGGTTTTGTTATCGCACTTTTCATGAATTCTGAATACTTTCAAGTTATGACTTACTTGGTCCATTGGAAAGTCAAAGCGATTGTACCTGAACATCATTCAT